ATTTTTACTCTAGGCTAAATATAGATGTCAATAAAGAGAAACCATTTTTTGAACTAAACACAGTTCTAATTTTGGTTGTTGGTTTTGAAAGCTTACCAAATAAGTTTTGTTTTTTATTTTTGTTGTTGGCTTTTAATTTTGGTTGCCATCGAATTGCTAAATTTTTGAAAAAATGGAAATGAAAGTGTTATTATACAAACACTTAAATTTTTAATTTTTAATTTTACTTTTCAATATTTATAAAATTTATAAAAACTAAAATTAAAAACTAAAAAATAAACAATACCAAACAAAGACTAAATTAAGCGAATGACAAGGACCTAGACCTACGCTAATATTATGTGCCACAAGACTTTGATTTGAAATTGCTAATGGGAGATTTTTATAACCCAATAATAAGTTTACTGTGTTGGTCAAGTTTTGTGGGTTTTTCTTTAAAACATGTTAGAGTATATGGCCAACTTGTTATAACAGCGTCTAGTTCAGCCAACCATATCAAGTGAGGTTTTAAAATAATAATAATAGCTTTGTTCAATTTAACTATTAATAACAAATGATAGTTATAATTATTAGTTAATAGTTAATAAAACACCTAATATTTATTACTTAATAGTGTGAAATTAGTCTATAAGTTTGTGTTTCTAAACATCTTAAATAGGTATTAAGAAAAAAATTATAAGTTAAAAAAATCAACTAAACCAAACATACAAAATAAGTTTTCTTATTTTATCAATAATATCACAATATTTACACCATAAATAACACCCAAACAAAGAATGTCATGTATCCATGAGCAATGTACATATGTCCAAGAAGGTATTGAGGATGAAGTTGTTGGTGAAATCTAGTAGTTCCAACCATCCAATACGAAAGTTTATTGCTTGAGAGTAGAGAGTTGTCAAAAAAAATTCTTTTCTTAATTTTCATATAAAGTGACGCCTAAATATTTCTACCATGTGGTGGCCAAAATGACGACTTTTAGGAAAACACTTTGTTATGGTCATATTAACAAACTACGCAATCCAACCAAAATAGACTACAAAATTAATAAATTTATTTGTAATATTGTTCGTATTATGAACGGCGAAGACCTTGTTTTACAATTTAACTTGTACAACAAAGACAAAGACTTTGACTTGTGACTTGGATTTGGGTTTATGACTTGGAAAATAGAAATGGGCGAGAAAAACCAAGATTTTAAACATTTACAGTACTCTTTATAGTGTTTACCACCCACTCAAGATTCAAATGATATGAAAATTAAAAATTGTGTAAAGATTAAAAATTTTGAAGGCACGCACATTTATTCAAATAATGGTAAAAAGTAATAATAGAAATGGGTGAGAAGGGTATTTTTTTAAATCTGAAAAGGAATAATAGAACGAACATCGGAGACACGTAAAAGAAACTAAAACCTCACTTTGATTACATGTATAAAGAACAAAAAACAAATGTTTTTAGGGCTTGTTTGGTTGTGCTAAGAGCTAATCTATAGTCAAACTATAAATTATATAAGATTTTATTTTTCCTTTCGGTTTGGGACCACAATGAAGGAACTATCATAAATTGTTCTAACAAATTTTTATT